TTTTTTAGATCAGAACCACCAGGAAGTTGCATCTTATCTGTAAGTACTGAAATTTCGTTGATATCAAAATTACCTGTTAATGATAATAAAACAGTTTCGTCGTTTTTCGCCCCGTCAACGTACATTAATAATTCTCTTATTTGAGAATCTGATGCTCCTGATTTTACAGATATTCTAACGTTTCTCCCGCCATCATTAATTCGCATTAATTCTTCTAATCCTGCCGTTTTTACATATTTGTCAGCAGAGGCTTTCATATCCGCTTCAATTTTAGGATTTTTAGTAGTAAACACTTTTAAGTTGTCTAATTTTTTAATGAGATTAATGTATTGTTGTGTTTCTTTATCAGAGGGATCAGCTTTTACTTTACTCATTAAATCAAACATTTTTTTGTTTACAATTACAGAGGTTACATCGTCCTGACCATCAAATTTGTCAAATGCACCCTGTGCATAAAAAGTAGTGGTAACGAATGCGAAAACTAGTGTTATGATGAAATTTTTCATTTTGATTGATGTTTTATTGTTTAAAAATTTTATTTTTTGATTGTTCATATTCCTTAATGTATTGTACACTTCCAATACCTACATTAACATTGCTTGATAATAAGGCTAAAGCTTTTTGAGTTGCTGCTAATGCTTCTTCCGGATTATCATAGGTTCCTAGTTCTGTTTGCGCTACAGCCAGAGCTGCATTTTTTTCGCTTACATAAAAATAGGTTCCAACTCCTAGTAAAACAACAACAGAAGCCGCTATCGATAACCACGCCACATTTCGTTTTTTAGTTTTTAGTGGTATGTCCTGCGTCGATTTTTGTTCTTTTACCTGAGAGAAATAACCAAATATAGGTTTGTATTGCTTTAAATGCTGCGCAACATTTGGTGAAGAAAAATAGTCTTTTAATTCTTTTTCCTCTGCAATACTGGTTTCTCCCTGAAAGTATTTTTCTAATAGATCTTCTATTTTATTGAATTCCATAACTGTGTGTGTTAACCATTGATTCTCTTAATTTTTTTTCTCGCTCTCGAAAGTGCTACCCGAATAGCCGTTTCATTCATGTTGACAATTTTAGCAATTTCATCAAATTCATATTGTTCAACATCGCGTAACTGAATTAATATTTGTAATTGCTCGGGCAACTGACTTATAATTTTCTCCACCCATTCTAAGCTATTTGAATCCTCAATTTTTTATCCAACTGAGGTTCCCGGTCGGTATAGTTATTATGTACAATTTGAAGATTTCCTGCTCTTTTCGATTTTAACTGATCCAGACAATAATTTTTTGTCATTGTCATCGCTAGTGCCTCGACACTATTATAGCTGTCTAAATTTTCTTTTTTATTCCATAATTTAACTATTACTTCCTGCGTAGCATCTTCGGCCTCTTCTGTACTGGTTAATAATCTTTTTGCCAGACGAAAAACTTTGTCTTTAAAAGGATTTATTAATTCTATAAACACATTCTGATTCATAAAATTGGTTGGTTATTCGTTAGCTTATATAGTCAAGACGAGGCACTATTATTTTTGTTACAGCAGAGTATAATTTTTTTTATAATAAAAAACACTTTAAAAATATCATAGTTAAAACTAAAGATACTATTTTTACGTTAATACTACATAGATACCTACTATATGAAAACAATTTTAAAGGGCGTACTGTTATTATTTTTACTTGCTTTTTCTTTGCAGTCTTGTGAGGATCAAGATGATGTTGCCGCTCCGGCTGATTTGCAGGTGAATGATTTCATTTGGAAAGGCTTAAATCAATACTATTTATGGCAAGCCGATGTACCTAATTTGGCCGATGAACGTTTTAATAATAATCAGGAATTATTAAATTCTTTTTTACGAGGATATTCTCAACCGGAAGATTTATTCCAGGCTTTATTAAATAAACCTATTAGCAAATTTCCAAAAGGTCAGGCAATTGATCGCTTTAGTTGGATTGTATCTGATTATACTGTTTTAGAACAGGAACTTCAGGGAACGACAAAAAATAATGGTGTCGACTTTAGATTAAGTTATAAGCCTAATAGTACAACTGATTTAGTGGGTTATGTACGTTATATTATTCCTAATTCTGATGCTTCAGGAAAACAAATAAAACGTGGAGATCTTTTTACAGCAATAAACGGAACTCAACTTACCGTTTCAAACTATCAATCTCTTTTGGCAGCCGATAGTTATACTCTAAATATGGCTGATTTTAATGGTACAAGTTTTGAATCTAACGGAAAAACAGTTTCTTTAGTAAAAACAACTTTAGACGAAAATCCTATTTTTATCAATAAAGTGATTAGTTCAGGTAGTCATAAAATTGGTTATTTAATGTATAATGGTTTTTATGCCAATTACGATGCGCAATTAAATGCTGCTTTCGCCGAATTGAAATCGCAAGGAATTACAGATCTTGTTTTGGATTTAAGATATAACGGCGGCGGTTCTATACAAACTGCAACGCGTTTGGCAAGTATGATTACAGGTCAGTTTACGGACAAGATTTTTGCTAAGGAAAAATGGAATGCAAAAATAAATGCAGCTTTTGAAATTGATAATCCGGAATATCTAAATAATCGTTTTGTAGACAAAGTAGATGGAGCGGCAATAAGCAGTTTAAACTTGTCTAAAGTATATATTCTAACTACTACAGGTACAGCTTCTGCGAGTGAATTAGTTATAAATGGTTTGGTGTCCGTATATTTCAGTA